CTACACACGTTATTTCTCGAGCAACCTTGATATCCTCACCAGTTAACGTCCTCAGTCTTGCTCCCTGCAATCGCCTTATCTCTTTGGCGATCAAGTCATGGTAAGTATTCGCTCATGTCCATCTACGTGTTCACGAATTGTGACGTTGCTCGCTTTTCTACCAATTTCTGAGATGATTAAGGGATATTCCAACTCTTTCCTTTCTAGTGGAGCTCATCTTATAGCCACGGTGAAATGCGCTGGTTTTCGACAGTTCTAGCATTTCCTGGCCCTGATCACCAGCGTAACTTTTTTTCTTGAGGAATTTCAGCATCTCCAGGATCTCTTTGAACAAATCTGCACTTTCCTTCTCCAAACCGTACGTTTTATACACTGGTCTACACAAAAATGCGTATCTGTGCATAAGAGAAAGTTTCGGCAAATGTTGACTTGGTTTCGTTAACATCTGCCACTTGGTGTATATGTCCCTCATTCCGAACAAACTCTTGTACTGTCTTTATGGGCTATCACTATCATAGCGTCTTTCTACGGTTCCCATAAATGTGTTATATTATCCATCTCACTTTCGGGAATAGTCTGTAAAATTTCAAACAATGCCGCAGATGTTTGAAAACGCAGGAATTCTGATATTGCAACTGTGATGAATGAAGTCTGCGGTGAATCAATTGCTCACTGCTTTTATACGTCCTACGTGGATGGCTCTTGGTTCCCACGACGACATTCAATTGGCTCAAGCCAATGCGTTCTGCAAACGTGGTTGTAGCTCCGCCTTTTTTCCTATTGTGGGTAAGGTTTATTTATCACTACATAAATTACAATCCGCTTTACAATCGTAGCACTGCACTGTTGTCACATATTGGATTCTCCTATAAATACGCAGTTTACTAACTGTAAACCTCTTTATAGACACCCTGTTTATTCACAGTTCTATTCTAGGTTCTAAAAACAAAAGCTTTAGTTGCATCACGCAGTTATGTGAAAGGTCCTGAGTCCGAGTCACGATTCGTTCACGATTTCGGTCGGCGTAATTCTAATATGAAATAAAAGCTCCTCATAACAATCTATCAGTGGCTCTGTTGTGGCTCACATATAATAAACTTGTCGGAAAAACATTAAAAAGCCCAACATAAATTAAAGAGAGCTCAGCCTAAAATCTATTCAGCGATTATGAAGTACCAATTTTATAAGTGTATGTATACTCGTATGTATGTATACTTTATGCCTGCAAACAATTTTGGTTCGTATGGCCCATGGCCCAGTAGAGTACATTCTCCTCGGAAGTACTCTATTGGATTAACTCAGGTTTGGGTACCAGCTTGTTGACATTTTTCGTATATACCTCATAATGTAAACTTCTATATTTACTCCATAAATTACTCCGATGTGACGTAAAGGTGGAGTATATAATCCAGCACTAGGAGATCGCAAAGAGAACCATATTATCTGCAAACGACAAGCTCAAATCCACCTTTAAATAAAGACGAATAAATCGAACATAACTGATGTATACATGAGTAGGTGTGTGTACTTGTATTGAGATTCAACATTATTTTCTAATTGAGCGCGCTCAACAAAATTCAAGCCTTTTAGATGGTTCATTATTCTAGTCCTAAGAAAGAAAGGATTTGCGAAAGATTTATGGTCCTTTCTATTCTTGTATCAAAGACGATGGAACTGTGCGCTGTTCCAGATATTACTAAACCTCAGCGAATTAATAGACTTCATAGTTTAAATAAAACTTTTCCACAAATCAAACATCTCTTTCTCACCCAAAGGTTATGTTATATGCTACTGAAATGTGTGCTGGGGTTCTTGGTAGGCTCGCTTCGTTGTTGTTTTTATCGGAATCAATAAAGATCTACAACATATAAATACAAATGATGGCTGATAAGTTCGTGACCTAATATATATAATAATACTAATTGCGGGACTCATTATTAGTATAAATAACAAAACTTCTTTATATGTTCATTAACTGGAAATTTTCGTAATTATTTGCCGAAAGAAAGAGATGTCATTGGTTCTTTAGGACCCTCCCCCTTCATACCCTCGTACGATGAAGAAAAAATGGGTTCGACTGTTGCAAATGATCGCCGGCCTGGGCACCCAGTGACGGTCGTGACCGACGGAACACTTCAGAACGTCGGAAAATTAGTGCTGGCTGATCGAAGAATTAAATTTCGGCAGACAGCAGAAGATTTGATTTTGTTTAATCTAAAAATACCAATTCCTTTACAACTTCTTTATTAGTCTTCCTTTCAAATCGGATAAAATGGAGACGAGAAAACGCAAGATAGCTGAGGATAGGTCGGACGAAACTCCAGCACCAACGCAAACGAAAATTCGCTATGTGATTCTCTTCGGTTTTCGGCGTAAATTTCAGCCAATACAAATATTCAGTGAATGCCAAATCGCATATGGAACTATTGTGCCGTTCTTAAAGACTATTTCTAAGTGGTTTGGAAGATTCCTGACCGGACATTTTTCCGTAGAAAACGAGCCACGGGAAGGTTGTTCAAAATCTTCAACTGACGACGACACTGTAGCTCTGGTGAAGTACAAAATTGCCAAAGGCCCATGGTTGATACAAAAAATGATTGGCAATGACTCGGGCTTGAATGGCAGGCTGTATTATACACAAAGAAGTCTTTGCGACAGGTACCACGCATTTTAAATGAGGCCCGAAAAGAGGCTCGAGTGCATATTTGGTCAGTCTAGTAACTTTAGTAGTCATTACTGCTGGCGAATCTTGGTTCTTTAAGTACGATCCAGAAGTTTATGTAGGGAGCACCTTGTGATTTCTAGTTATTTTCAAAAATTTAAAGAGAAAGTCTTTAATAGCAATGAGGAGATAATTAATGCGGTTAATGCTGAATTTGAAAAGTCTAAAAAGCAAGGCTTTGAAGACTGTTTTACGAAGTGGATCTACAGTTTTAAGACATTGAATGATCACGTAGAAAAGATAAAAGAAGGACAAAGACTACGAATAAATATAAAAATATTTTTTTGTTTCTTTTTCTGGTCAACTTACCGTACTTTTGTTAATCTCCGCGTACGGATGTATAAATGAAATAATATAAAATATATGAAATTATGTACAATAAATACACTTTGGTTCACACCGAAAATACCTCAGCATTTGGTGTTGTTATTGCACTCTCAGGAGTGTCAACCAAATCGTAAACGAATAAGCTATCGAAATCTTATGACGTTACATACATATAGGACGATAGTTGGTTTATTCCAGTTATACACATGAAATAACTTACATTGTAGGTATAAATACGTATAGTACATACATATGTCAATATGTTTAAATACCTAGAAACCCCTTAAAGTTTCCTTAAAGTAGTGAAACTCTCGCTAATAGTAGGAGGGACCATCCCAGCTGCTGTGAACTTCGTACATGATGGTGGATATACCTTAGTGCAAAGCAAAATCAATTCATTAATTAGGATCAGAGCTCACTAAATAACGTATAAGGCTTGCTAACAGTACGCTGTAGGCTGATATAAATACAATAAGCTGACACTAGGCAGTTCCAACGACATTCGCCGCCATTGCGATATTGAGATAGAAATATCAGTATATCTGTCGTTATATACCACCTAAGGGATAATTGCAGATTCTCTACTTACTAATCACATACAATGTTGTGGATCAAAACACTTCCTCGTCAACCTGTATCACTGTTCAGTGGGGGATTCCTGGTAGGGGGATGGAAGGGCTATGATTGTAATGATTATTGTCACCGCTACAGAAAACTAGAATAGAAAGATTTAAATGATCACGAAGTGTTTATTGGGAAAAGAAATCGATTGCAAATCACTTCAAACTTCGGCTCCTCAGCTTGAGAGCATTGACCTTCGTAACGTTACGACTTCAATCGCGCGGGGTTTTGGGAAATATGTCTGTGAGTTTTCTGGGATCGAAGTTATTTTTTAGTGATTTTGAACACCTCTGCCGTGGACGCCCATACTACAATAAATGTATTATATATACATAAATATGTATATTCGCATGCGGGCTAACGAAAGTCCACGGCAGCTTAACCTTTTACATGTCACTTTTCGTGGAACGAACACTTATGCGGTGTGATATTCCTATATATGAGTACATACAAATGTATGTGTATATGTATATAGCATTCTACCTACGTGCATACGATATATTCATGAACGTGTGTGTATTTATGCAAGTGTTTTATTTTTTCCTTACTCATCCAAACTGTCGTTCTGTCATTAAAGTGCAACAAAGTCAGTGCTTACCCCGCCACTGCATACGTGTTGAAGCCAGCCACCAGCCACCAGCCACCAGCAGCCATCAGCCATCAGCCAGCAGCCAACAGCTTTCATCGTCGCACAAATGCAATTGTACACGTTCCATTTCCGCTTCAAGTGGTCGTCTTCCTTAAAGAGGCTGACAAAACAACCCAGCTCAGACGGCAATGCATACAGCTATTCCATTGATATTGGATTCATCGCATTTGTTTTTGTTATTGTTTTTGTTATTGCTATTCTACTGACTGTCAATGACTACAATTGCGGATTTGCTCTTCCTGAAGCTTTCGGTAGACTGGTTGGTTGGTTGGTTGGTAGAATTTTTCGAACTTTAACATTCAATGGATAAGTCTCTTAAAAACCGGTTTCCCTGCAATTACTACATTTGCAAAGAACATAGGCCGAAAACAAACACTGATTTAAGAGCCAAGCAAACTGTTCCATCTAGCCATAGTACAGGTCCGGACAGATAATGAGCTTTGAGGTAAATCAAGCCAGCACATAAATATAAAAGTAATGCTGGAGAAATGCGGAATATTTTAAAACAACTATTTGAGATTTAATACGGCTTGATTTTATCAAAGATTTGCTGGGAACCACACTAACAACCCAACAGTGTGCCTACTGTTAGTAGTAGTCAATCCATCCGACATGAAATAAAATTTTCTCTGCTTTCAGACATTCAGAGGCGGCTAAAACCGTAAGCCTCTTCATCTTTTTGGAAAATATCAACGCGCACAATGCAGATTGAGAATTGGTTCTGTCGCAAATCCTGTTTATTATTATTCTGCATACGTTTATATACATTGACCGAATTGACCATTAATTTGAAAAAGCAGCTACTAATTGGTCTTTCAAGCGCTTTCTCGTTTCGTTGAACTCCGGTCTTTTAATCAAGTTTACTTCTTCACCAACATCCGAACGGTGATCATACATCTCCTCTCCGAAAATATCACTCCAATCTGATAACAAAAATAAAAGAGTGAAGAACAACATTTTAATTAAAAATACTTTTACTATTTATAAAAAAATTGTCTCACCTTTGGTGAAATTATTTGCATTAAAGCGCACCCAGAGGGTATAACGGTACATTGTAGTGCGCATCGTATAGCCCATCACCTTAATATTTACAAGTTTTGGTTTATCACTATTTGGATGCTTTGTCGGTTCCATACCGGGACGTGGATACTGACTTAGAGCCACGTGATGCTCACCCGAGCCCACTCCTTGCAGCAATGGATATAAACTTTTTCCTTCACTACATGTCAAATCGTCACTAGATGCAGCTGACTTTTTGCATTGCGGTAGTGGCGGCAAGTGCGCTAGATCGACTAAAGTGGGGAAAATATCCACTAGCTCAGCAATCGCATCTACACGCTGAGATGCTAGCAACGGAAACTCCGGACTGCGCATGACCAATGGCACGCGCAACGCAACTTCGAAATTACTATACTTGGCCCATTCGGCATGCTCACCCAATGACCAACCATGATCTCCAGTCACCAATATAATAGTGTTGCTTCGATTTACTTGCGCGATGAACTTTCCAAAGAGATCATCCACATAAGCCACAGCGGCATAGTAGGCACGACGTATCTGTGAGCGCTGTGTCGTTGAAATCGGACCATATGGAAAGGATATGTTACGATGCTTAAAGTCATCACGTGCACGCACATCAATGTAAGGATTCCAAGCCACATTTGGCATATCCGCCGGCTTATGTGTATCTTTGGTGTAATTATTGAAATCTTCTAAGTTAAAACGTTCGATGTACTGTTCTGGGAAACGAAAATTAATGTGTGGCTTGTGAAAGCCAACAGCTAGGAAGAACGGTCTACGACGTTTGTAAGTACTGACGAAACGTATAGCCTCGGCAGTAGACTCTATATCCGGCAATGTCTTCAATGGCTGCGTGTGCAAGTGAACAGGACAGATAAGATTTTTCCTTAAGACACCACTAACATCCGGGCAGACTGGTGAGTTCATATACTTCTCACTCAGTGGTCGAAATGTAGGCAACGACCAGCTGTACGGATAATCATCGGTGTTGTTTGATGAAATGCCGGGATGAAAAACTTTTCCAATGCCGTATGTATAGTAGTTGTGCGATTTGAAATACTGTGGCAGTGTGGAAAAGTTACCAGTAAAATCGCGCCAATAATTGTAGAAGTCATAAAGGTGTAAGGTATCCGGTCGACGGCCGGTGAGCATGGAGTTTCGACTTGGTGCACAAAGTGATTGCTGAAAATAAAATTTGATTTGCTGTCAAGTTCTGCTTTATTTCATATGTGTTTCTTTTAAATCTATGAACACATGTACGTTCCTAAGCGTATACATACTCGTACAAACATACCTGACTGTAAGCACGTGTAAAATAATAGCTCTCCTCAATAAATGCATCCAAATGTGGTGTTTGTGCCAAACGATCGCCATATCCGCCCAGTGCCGGTCTCAAGTCATCAAATATTACAAACACAACATTACGTCGCGGTCCGTTTTTCGCTGAATGGGTGACGAGCATGAAGATGTGCAGCAGAAATAGCAAAATAATAGTCATAGTAGAAGTCAAAATTGATGTAGTGAATAGCAAGAGCTCGTATTTGCAGAGTATGTGCTATGCACGCTGACTCTCTCTGCAAAATAAGGAACTTTTCGTGAGACTGCAGATTCAAAAGTCATATTCGTACAAATATTTAAGTTTAACTCAATTGTTGCATGGGCAAGCATGTCAGTATGTTTAAGTTCGTAAGTTTTGAATGCTCTTGAAGCACCCACACGTACAGCACTGTGCAAAATTAAGACCTTATAATCATGCAGCGTGTAAGTGGAGTGTTACTTATTATTTATACATATATGAAACTTGGCACACAAATGGCTGAAGTCGGGCGTTACCAAATCATGCGATCCAGCGAGGCAACCCACTTAGCTTATTGGACCATGGATCTGCACTTTCAAGGTCCCCTAGTTTGTTGTTTACATCGCATTCCATTAGTTCCGCCTCGCGCGATACTGTAGGTAATTTACAGACATGCATACAGTGGCTCAATAAAGAACCCGGACACTGTTATTAACATGTAACTTCAGGCTAGATTTTTTTTAACCAATTGATATTAAGCATTTTTGTTTTTTACATTTTTAAAGGGTATCCAAAAAGGATTTAAAAAATACCAATAACAATCAAATTAAATAGTTTTTAGGTCTCCTATACCCTTGCTTCAAAAAATTAACATGTGGCATGCTAGAAATTTCGCCAAAAATAAGTCTGGTAATATTACAGTTGGTTGGCATTTTAAAAAGGGGAATCCCACAATTAGTTTGCTTTCATTTAAAAATACATATGTGTATAATCAAACGTAACAGCTTAGAATAAAATTTCAGTAGTTTTTTTTTTTGAAAAAAAGGTGAAAAGTTCAAACATAGGTAGACAGCGTGGACAAATCTCAATTGAAGTAAAGAAGTTAATTATTTGTCATTTTGAAATGGAAAAAACCATTCGCAAAATACTAGAAATTGCGAGCAGACCCCGCTCGACTGTGCATGATGTGATTAAACGATTCAAACAAACAAAATCCGTGGAAAACGAAAAGAGGTCTGGACGACCGAAATTGTCTTCGGCTGCAGATGAGCGGTGGATAGAGCAGCAAATCAAAAAAAAATCCAAACATGAGCGCTTCCAAGATCTGAACAGAAGTTTTGCAACATCTCAATATAAATTGTAATCCGGAGAGTATCCGAATAGACTTACGAAAATATAATTATAATGGAAGAGTAGCACGGAAAAACCATTTAAAAACGAGGTTAACCGAAACAAAAGGATGAAATTTGCAAAATGTCATGGGGATAAGGATTTTTAATTCTGGAAACAAGTTTTATTTGCAGATGAAAGCAAATTTCATATATTTAGGTCAGATGGACAGTCGTATGTTTGGAGAAAACCGCATAAAGAGTTGCTAGAAAAGAATTTACGTCCGACTGTTAAACACGGGGCGGCTCAGTTATGGTATGGGGTTGTATGTCCGCAACTGGTACTAGAAATTTGTGTTTCATAAATGGTAATATGGACAACAAGCAATATCCGACCATTTTAAAAGAAAATTTAGTGCAAAGTGCGGAAAAGTTGCGAATTAAAGACAATTTCCAGTACTACCAACCCAACGATCCCAAGCACTTGATGTCCGTTTATGGTTGATGTATAACTGTCCACCTCCTCAATCTCCCGACATCAACGTAATTGAACATCTGTGGGCTCATTTGGAAAATAAACTGAAAACGCATGTTATTAGGAATAAGAAAGATCTAGAAGCCGCTATTTTGGAAGAGTGGGGGAAGATAAATTCTTCAACATGCAAAAAGCTAGTTGAATCTTTGACAAGTAGACTGAATGCTATCAGAAAAAGTAAAGGCTTGACGACCATATATTAAGAATATTTTGTTTCTCTTTAAATAATATTTTTAAATTCTATGTCATATACATAACAATCCGAGTTCTTTTTTTTTAAGTTGTTATGTTAATATTACTTTTATACGACGGAGTTGAATTTAGTTTATGGTTTTGGTTGTTTTGAAAAAAACACTTGAAGAATAGTAATATACGTTAAACAGAAAGCCCTCGATTTGCATTTTATTATACATACATTTTTTTGCTTAAAGTCATATAACTTGTGTGTCCGAGTTCATTTTTGAGCCACTGTATGTACATATACATATGGCTTAGTAATAAATAAGAGCGATGTGTTCAGTGGAGAGCAAAACATTTTATAAGAACTTCAGTAGAATACAATAAGTTGTCAGCGAACTCAAATTACATACATATATATATATATGTATGTACGTACATGTACACAATAACTTGAGCTCATCGTAATTGTTCCTTCCTTAATTTAACCGGAAGTGTCTGAAGAAAGTAGTCGAACAATTTTATGAATACACACGTAGATATAAATTAATTATATAATTCTATTAATATATAATATACTATATTACTTACTTACTTTACTGGCGTAGACACCGTTTACGCGGTTATAGCCGATTTAACAACATTGAGCCATTCGCTTCTTCTTTTTGCTGTTTGGCGCCAACTGGAGATACCAAGTACAGCCAGGTCCTTCTCTACCTGGTCTTTCCAACGGAGTGGAGGGCCCCTCTTCCTGCGCTTCCACCGCATTAATAATTTTATAATTGTTCAATATAATTAAAATTTAAAAATTATTATTTTAAATATTTGAAATGTTTGTTTATTCATGGCTACATATTTTTTATTTGACCATACATATGTATATATTATTATGTCGAAAACTAAATAAACGCCACGAGCTACAGACATTCAACTCTTGTGTTTTTTTTTGTTGAAGTGATTCGCTAACCCCGCTTGGGAACAGACTAGATCGGAATAAGTCCTCTAGGTCATCTAACGGGAGGTCAGTGAAACGAGCTGTTTCGACGGGTTCGGACAAGAGGGAAGGAGGGGTTAGATGAGTTAGTCTTAGGGGGAAGGTAAAGAGGTCGTTAGTGTCGAAATCAATACTGGATAGGTAGTAGCTTAGTTTAAAACTTTCTCGAGACATCTCTAGCTTTTCGACTACAGTAGATGATGGTATGACTCCGAGAACGCCATTTACTGGTAGAGAGCTCAGGAAGGTGTTGGCGGATTCTCGGTAAATGGCGGTTAATGTCTGTCTACCGTATTGTCCAGCGGTTGTTGTAGGTGGTGTTGAATGCAGTCCTTAATTTCGAGTGATGGATCGTCTTCTAATAAGTGTCTGCTGGGTGCTCCCGACCGTAGCGTCCCAGCAGGAATTGGTTACACAGCAAAGCATTACGCTGCTTAACTCGCAGCATAAAAGCTCCGCTGTGCAAGTGATGTGGCCATGTCATGTTCTTGAGGGCGGTATTTTGGCAGGCTTGTAGCTTTATCTCCGTCTCGCTTGTCCCCGGCACCCAGACCGGAGCAGTATATTATAGTTTACCACCGGCCGGTTAATTGCCTTGTTAGTTGCTGGCAACGTTTCTTTGTATTTACCCCAGGTGCTGCCGGCTAACGCGTTATATACATATACAAAAGTTTATAATAATTTCATGCGTTGGTGACGCATCTCCTAGCCCCTCGAGCGTCTCCGTCATTATCGCAGCTCCTTCGAAGTAAAGATGCCTAAGTACAATGAAAAAATAAATATTCGAATCAGAATGTTATTAATGTCTATATGCAGTTGTACCTCAACGAAAAGTTTTGTCGAATATTTTTAAATCTGCTACTGCGGCTGGATGAGAAGCGTCCATTCCAGTCAAACTGCTCCATTAGTTGACCTTTTCGTACGATATAGAGTGCCCTTAAGTTAAAAAAGTGATGGGAAAATCGTTCTACGTACGCTATAACTTCATGCATTCCTGAGATATATTGGCTCAAATGATCGGAAGCCTTCTTGCAGGGATGTGATTGAAATTTAGTCAACAAAATTAAATTGAAATTAAAATACTATTAACACATTAATATGAATGATACGACTATACTAACAATATAAGTGCACAATTCTAATTTTGCTAAAGTAAATTTGATGGTATCAACTATTTAATTAAAAAAGTGTGGTTAAGGTACTCTTTGAATGAGAATGTGGTGGCAGTGGAGTGAAATCATCAACCGCACACCACCCAGCTTTCGTTGAGAAATTATAAGTAAGGAATGTTGAAGGCATCGAATTTGAATATATTATTATTTCTTGTGCAACCCAAGTAGACTTTGAATTTATGTAATTTACTAGAAGGTAGTGCTGCCCAAAGTTGCAAAGTTGCCGATGACGGTTATGCATTCTTAAGCTTTAAAATCGTAAATAAAACTTTTGCTTGGAATTTGTTTAACATAATCAAATAAACTATAGAAATGCTCAGTTATTATTTCCGACTTACACGCCGATACATTTCCACTCATTTTCGTATTAATAAATTAAAAATGCCATATAGTTGCCAATTTTAATAAAATACCTAAGAAATAAGAAAAAAATCAACTAATTCAAATTAAACTGCTAAAATTAACAGCGGCTAATTTTACTGATTGCTGTTCGGTGAAAACTCAGTAAATTTCTTTCTTTGTGACATTTCTCACCGAACAGAGCTAATAATTTTTATTTTAAATTAATGTTACCTGTTGCCCTAACCGGAGTTAGGTCGCCGAAAGGGTGACAGTCCTTGGCGGGATAAAATCCGGGTCAACTCCGGTGCTCTTGAAAATCTCGAGAGGCCCCTGTGGACTTGGCACAACTTAGGTATGCAGGTTAAACTCCTATTTATACAGACTCGACCCTAACGTATACCGTGCATGTGGAGAGTCTCTGCACGGCACTAACCATCTTTATGCATGCACCCGTCGAAACAGCACGTTTCCTGGACCGCCCACTAGATAACCTCGGCGACTAAGATTAATCAAACCTGTACCTAAGCGGGGTTATCGAACAGCGAACAACAACAACAACAATAATAATAATGATAATAATTTTTATCCGGCCAATGACAGTTACTCCCCAAACATTCCCCAAAAATCTATTCTGGGAATATTTTGCGGTTACAACAACAACAGCAAGTTCTCTTCATGAACAACCGCCAAATCACATTCATTTCATTATTCTTCACTTGGCAGCACTTCAATGCCATTTTGCTTTTGTGAAATGATTTCTTTTAAAGCTTTTGTTTTTATTCTCACTTTCTATCCACATTCGTTTGCATTTGTTTTTAATTTAGTTTCTAGTTAAAATGTCAGTAACAATTTTAAAACCTGGGGTTTTTAAACACATCACTTGTAGGAATAATATTTACCCAAAAAGTGCAGTTAAGCGATTTCCTGTTCCTGATGAATTTGTTTATTGGTCAAAGGAGTATAGCGAATATGCTCCTGAAGTTTACACTGCGCCGCATATTAATGGGCAACCATGGGCAGATGTGAACATTGTCTCTGCAGATTCTCAACCTAAATGGAATCAAATAGATGGCGATGTAAATCGGGTATCATTTAACGGAATTTATAAAATCGAAAATGGACTTCCCACAAATCCCATCGGTCGCACTGGGCTCCGTGGTCGCGGCCTACTAGGACGATGGGGTCCAAATCATGCTGCTGATCCGGTGGTAACACGCTGGAAACGTGAAGCTGATGGTAAGATGAGCGTGGACAGTTGCTCACAAAAGTAAGCGCTTATACATATACTTCTGCATACATAATTATATGTTTTAATCTCCCAATTCCCTTTTATTGTAGAAGGATTTTGCAAATGGTGGCCATTCAACGCCACGATAACAAAATGTGGGCTATACCAGGAGGTATGGTAGATCCTGGTGAAAAGGTCAGTTCAACGCTCAAACGGGAATTCATGGAAGAAGCTTTGAACAGTTTGGGTAAGTAAAACACTGACATTAAATTTGTTATGAGCTAATATCTTTTGTACATATGTATTTAACATACGATTGCAGATAACACGGAAATGATTGAAACGTTTTTTACAAATGGGTCGGAAATATACAAAGGTTATGTGGATGATTTTCGTAACACAGACAACGCTTGGATGGAGACAGTGGCATATAATTTCCATGATGAAGACGGCACTAAGGTTGGGAAATTCTCACTCTCAGCCGGTGATGACGCTGCTAACGTTAAATGGTTAGATATCAATAGCGGTGTAGAATTACATGCCAACCATATTGATATTATTAAGGAAGTAATAAAGCGATTGAATGCTCATTGGTAGTACATAAATATGTAGCGTTTTAATGTATTCAACAGCTGCAGCATAAACGAACAGATAGCTGAAATTTGTACATACAAATTCAAATAAACTCATTCTTAATTGCTTAATTGTTAAGTAAAAAGTGAAACTTGGCATCACTGATAAATACCTTGGGATCCTAAGCACAACAGCTGTGCCGCGCACAACATACTTGTTGGTAAGTTGACAACAAAAATTAATAAACCCATGCGAGTGAAATTGCTTCAGAAGATATACAAAACACTCCGCTTTCACCGCAATTCAATGGCAACTTTTACACAGGTAATAAATCCATTGTCTGGACAGAATGAGTGGTCTGTACAGAACGATGATTACGATTATCAAATGGAGCTAACATGTACAGGTTTTGGGGACATGTTGCATGATAAGGAGCGCAATCAGAAATATTTCGCGGCATTGCGTTCGACAATTGCACGCATGCACTCTGACGGACGTGAAGTTCACGTGTTGGATATTGGCACAGGTACGGGCATTCTATCAATGATGGCATTATCAGCCGGAGCTGATACAGTTACCGCGTGTGAAGCTTTTATGCCAATGGCGAATTGTGCTGAACGCATATTCGAGGCAAACGGATTTGGTGATAAAGTACGTTTGGTGAAGAAACGTTCAACAGAAATGCGTATTGGTGAAGATATGCCGCGTAAGGCAAATTTATTGGTGGCTGAGCTACTAGATACCGAATTGATAGGAGAAGGTGCAATAAGTATATACAATCATGCACATAATGAACTCCTAACAGATGACGTCATTTGCATACCGGCAAAAGCAAACTGTTACGCCCAAGTGGTACAATCGCCTCTAGCGGCTCAATGGAACACTATGAAAATTATAGCTGATTTAGATGGCAATATTTTGCTGAAGCCATCAAAAGATGTGTTGGAGTGTAAAGGAGATGCTGCGGTGCATGACGTTCAACTTTCACAACTAGGTCCGGAACATTTTCGTGCACTGACAAAACCTATGGAAATATTTGAATTTGATTTCAACAAAAAAACCAATAGATCAATTCGAAGACGAAAAATTTTGGAAGTGACTGCCTTACAACCTGGTTCAACGGATATTGTTTTTTATTGGTGGGATATAAAAATGGAACCGAATGATGAGTTAACACTGAGCTGTGCGCCATATTGGGCTCATCCCGAAAAGGAAAGTAATGATGTAATACCTTGGCGAGATCATTGGATGCAAGCTATTTATTATATACCAAAGTCACTACATGTATCTGGAAAGGGTGAAAAATTCGTACTCAACTGTAACCATGATGAATACTCGCTGTGGTTCGACGTACAAAAAGCATTAAATGCAACGGAGTCTTCTGTTCCAAGGCATGCTTGCACTTGTAATTTACATCTCGCTTATCCTCGTTCCCGTATAGGTCAATTGAACCAAGCGGTACGCAACAAGCGATATCTAAATTATTTGGAACAAAATTTAAGTAAGGAATCACAGCTTCTTTGTCTTGGTGACGGCTGTGTTTTAGGATTGGCAGCAGCAAAAATGGGTGTCGCTTCTGTTATTTTATGTGAAAATCATGTCTTTTCAAAACGTTTCATGGAATCTATTGTGGATAGTAATAAACTGGAAAATGTTCATTTATTAAAAAATATATATGAGATAGAGGAACCAAAATTGAAAGAAATTACGCACATATTTGCTGAGCCATACTTTTTCACTAGTATACTTCCGTGGGATAACTTACAATTCGGCCTATTATTACACAAAATTCTGAATAAATTACCTGCAACGGTGAATATATCCCCGCATTCCGCTAAAATTTTCGCAGTTCCAGTACAATTTACTGATCTACATAAAATAAGAACGCCAGTGGGGCAATGCGAAGGTTTTGATTTGAGACATTTCGACCGGATGATTGAGGTAATTTTGAATTCAGTAAGAAATATATTGATTTTGTAGTTAATATAATTCGCAGCAAGCTAGAAAACTACTTACGGATCATCAAATTGAAGCGCAACCACTTTGGGAATATCCCTGCAAAGCGTTAGCGAAGCCACAAGAGCTCTTGAATGTTGTTTTTCGCAATTTCAACGAAGAGAAAACCGGAAACGGCACCATTGAAATAGAAAGGTATATTAACATTGTATAATTAGAAAATAAATTTTTCAATTAAACTTTCACCACTCTTCAGCGCTGGCTCCTGCAACGGTATCGCACTGTGGGTTGAATGGAATTTGGATGGTGCTAGTAACCCTAAATCACTCATAAGTACTGGACCTGTACAACCGATAATACCGGGAAATTTTATTAAATGGGATATGTTTGTACGCCAAGGCGTGCAGATATTTGAGAAAAGCTATCAGGTGGTTAATGAAAAAAGTAACATCCAATGGAGGTTGCTATTCAAGCCGACGGCAAATAAAATTCATTTACATTTTGACGTAAAAGCGTAATATGACTATAACTTATTTCCAATATTCTTTGAAGATAAACTAATTGACACCGCAAACGAGTACCTACATTTTTGGGTATACATATGTATATGGTATAATAGATAATTGCGTACATATTTATTTGTGATATAAGTTCTTAAAACAATAGAAAAGTCTAAAATACATACATATGTGCAAAGTGTAGCAAAGAATTACAAAAATTATTATTCAATTCTTGGGTATCTCTTGCTCCATTTGTGTCAGGACAATGTTGCGATCAGTCTGCGTAGTCGGAGATGTTTGTTTTTGACCGAATTCACCGCCTTTCAAACGTTGACGTAAGTCCAAAGCTCGAATATCAGTCATCAACGAATGCTGTTTGTTCTCCAAGTCGATATCAATTTTTTGAGCATGTTCTTCTAATAAATTATAGTTGGCCTTAGACTCATCGATTTTCTCCATTAAGCGACGTCGTATAGCTTGTAATTTTTGTACTTCCAAACACAGTTGCTCATGTGCCTCATCTAAACATAATTCCATACCAGAACGTTGTGCTCTATTTTCCAAACGTGTTTCAGCAAGCTTTAGACCATCAGTTTTATCCCTTAAGGCTTGTTCCAAAGTTTTTATTTCACAAACAGCCTTCTCCATTTCCTCTTTCATCTGAGAATTTTATGAAAATTTATTGAATAACTCCTTCCTAAAATTCTTCATTTACCTTCATTTGTTGCCACTGCAGCTCATTTCGTGCACGCTGGGTCTCGAAGATGCGCTTGCGTATGGAATGTTCGGCTCGTTCCTGTTGTGTTATCAACATATTGCGTGCCTTCTCACGACAAACGAATAACGCCTCTCGTATAGCATACGTATCAGCTAGTTCATTTTCAGCCATTTGCTTCACGTTTTTGGTATGTTCCAGCCATCCTTGATAAGTGCAACAGCTAAAAAAAGATGAAGATGAAAAGGTTGCAGGCTTGCCAGAACACCGCCCTCAGGACCGCGACAGGAAACCTCCTGATGTCGCCGGAGCATCACTTACACATGGAAGCATCCATGCTACGAGTTAAGGAGCATAATGCTTTGCTGTTCAAGCAGTTCCTATTGGGGTGCTACCGCAGGCACATCAGAAAGGGAGTACAGTACCACCTATAGCAGACAACGAGCTCGAGCTGCCTCGATAGACCCGCGTGACCCTGACACAACTCAGGTCTGGATACTGTAGCAGGTTAAACTCCTAGTTATCCAGACTAGACCCCAGCATACCCAACATATGTCCTGCATGTGGAGAGTCTAAGAACGACTCCAACCACCTCTTCACATGCCCTCTCAAGCCAACTCATCTAACCCTCCTCTCCCTTTGGTCCAACCCCGCCGAAACAGCTCGTTTCCTGGACCTGGATGACCTCGGCGACTTAGACTGATAAAACCTGTGCCTCAGCGGTGCTAGTGAACCGCTACAACAACAGTTTTTTGATTAATTCACTCAGTACGTTGTGAGCGCTCGTCAAAGATTGACACCAACAAAGCGGCTGAAAAAATTAATTTAGTTTATGGACCCGATACTGTAAACGAACATGTAGCACAAAAGTGGTTTTCGGGAGGCCTGTCGTCGCAAATTGCGATAAAATCAGGGAAATAGTGGAAATCATCCACGTGATCACTTATTTAATTGTTAAGGAACTAAAGATAAGCCAGACTTGACTGCCACATGAACTGACGCAAGAAAACATGATGGACCGAATTTCCATCTGCGAATCGCTGCTGAATCGCAACAAAATCGACCCGTTTCTGAAGCGCTTTGGGACTGGCAATGAAAAATGGGTCACTTACGACAACATCGAGCGCAAACGGATTGACGGACAAGAAGGTTTTGCTGTGTGTTTGGTGGGATCGTTGAGGAATCATCTACTACGAGCTGCCAAACGCTCAATTGGTGCTCTACTACCAACAAAAAGACAGCTTGAAGGCAGCACTCATCCAGGGGAGGCCATCTTTGATCAACAGAGGCCGAATTGTGTTCCATTAGGTCAACGCCGGGCAAATCACGTCTTTGGTGACGCGCCAGAATTCCGGAGCTCGGATGGAAGGTCCTAGTGCATCCACCTTATAGTCCGGACCTGGCACCAAGTGATTACCATCTTTTCCTGTCCATGGCAAACGCGCTTAATGGTGAGAAGTTGGCCTCAAGAGAGGCCTGTGAAAATTGGCTCTCCGAGTTTTTTGCCAATAGGGACGCAGCCTTCTACGAGAGGGGTATAATGAAGTTGGCATCGTTGGCAACAAGTTTACGAACAAAATGACGCATCATTTGATTTAAATCGGACAAATGTACACAAATTTAGAAATTTTGCGGGAGTGAAAAAATCTTAAATCTTTCGATTTCGATTCGAATCTTTCGATTTTTCAATTTAAGAAAGGGTATCATGTTATAATATATTTTATCTTCACTACGCCACTCAATAATCATCAAACACTAAATTTCTCTTCAAACGAACGCATCAATATTAAGGAACCACCCATGAGCTAAATACCTTACCTTATAATTTTGAAACTTACTTTTTAGGGTTGCGCGTTGGGTCGGGCTTATAGGTAATATTTGCCGCAAATTTATTTAGATCAAGTTGTGCTACGTCCAGTTCTTCCGCTTCTGTTTTATTTCCGACCTCTAATCCAAGCTTGAATTTTACCTCTTCCAAACGACTAAGTTTCTCCCAGGCTTTCTGACATTGATCGGCTAGAAGACGTTGATTATTCTCTACAATAGTCAATTCATTTTTAATTTCCGTATCAGCCTCATCGTAAGTCAATTCAGAACCCAAGCGACAATCACGCATCGTCAGGCATTCAGCAATAACACTAATAGGAGTTTGCATTGCATCTAGTTCTCGCTCCGTTGATGCCTTCTCCTCCTCTAGCATTTTCATTTCACGCACAATGCGTTCAAATGTTCTAGCGATTGTTTCACGCCAACGGGCGAGCTCTGCAATACTAAATTTATATAAAATTATTTTTATATTAAAAGCAGTTGGACATGTGATTTTTAAAAACTCACCGATCTGCTAACGCCTCATTAGTTTCATAATTAGTCCAATCCCCTTCAATACGCGTTTCATTACGCAGAGTACGGGAGCTATGCCGGATGGTGAAAGCGTCGCTTCGTCTTGCGTCGGCTACATTGCGCAGCTGATTCACACGAGCATTCCAATCAGACAAAGCCAAATGCTGCAGAGGTTTCTCCAATGTAATTACTGTATGATGTGCCATATTGAGTTATGTATGTATGTATGTAGATATGTATATGGCGAATGGTATTGTACAAGATATATTTTAAATATATTTGTAAAAAAAATAATTACGACAATAGATTAAAACTTCAATTTATGTAGCTTTTACTTAGCTTAAAATATAAATCTAAACCAATTTCGAATTCCACGAAAAATTATTGAAACATAAAAATTGAGAATTGCTTTGTTCAAATTCAATGTATAAGATGGGAATGTCGGAATTAATACTTGTACTTGTTTGTTGTTTGCCAAATCAACATATATCAAAATGGTATCTAGTGGATACGTTGTATCTTAGGAAATATATGAATATTTGTGAGTGTGCCGAAGAAATATTTTTTAGCAACTCCAAACAGTGTTTTAAGCCGACGCCAAGTGTAGGTAAATATGTATTTTGGCTCAAGAAGTGAAACCTGTCTTTTCGATTATCACCACAAAGAAAACTTGGAGTAATAGCCGCTCAGGAAGATAATTAGTTAGTCCAGGGGTCTACATACTACAGTAATTATACCGGACATCGACTTTTGCTAAAACTGCCCTGTTGTCTAAATAGGTGTTTCTGGTGATATTTTTTTTAATAAATGTGGGGAATCCTGTATTTTACAATAGTTTTTATACATTATTAGCATTTAAAGTTGCATTGAAATTGCTAGCAAACACATTACATACAAATACTCATAGTTGTTGTCCTCAAATCAATAAATAAAAGATTCCCCTTCGGGTGACGGCCGCCTTGTTATTATTATTTAAGAAAAGATATAATCAGTTTTCATAACTGCCGGAAGTTGTACTATTTTCCCGGAAATGTTGAACCAACTAGCTGAATATTGGATAGGCGGTACGATATGCAGTACTGCCAAGTTAAATTCAGAATTATCTCCTGAAAAACTCTTTATATTTAAAAATGTATTGTGAACTATATATTTGCAAATAATGTGTTCCAGAAAAGTTAAAGAAGTTTAATACTTCAATAACAAGAACTTTTACCGCGGTTATAATAAAAAATGTGAAATTCAAAATTGTTTGACACTCGTTTGGCACCATCTTCAACTGTCATCTGAGTACTGAAACCGACTCGAGTTTTGGCAACTCTGTAAGCAGGAAAAGTGTAGCGAAGGTCCCTGTAACGAAAGTCGATCTAACTTCTGCATTACATGCAATTTTAACAGAAATACAATTTTGCATTATTAGCAGATATAAATTTATATAAAACAAGCGTCTCAATAAATAATTCAATAATTTGGTTTCGTTATTATCGAACAGTTGTTATTGTTAATTATTTATCGAAAGTGCTATGAAGTGCGAAAGAAATAACTAGCCGATGTAAAATTACACACCCGGAATTATTGCTACTATAATAGACAGGAGAGAAAGCGAGTTAGTTAAATTCAGCAAGTGGTGCCATTCACTCGATATTGTATCAAAGATACGACGACGACGAGAAGAAAAAGGCTAACGGCGAACAAAAAAGTCAGAGCGAAGAAGGTGGAACAAAAATAGCAAAAGTCCACAATGGCGAGCACCGGTGTTGGTAAGAAAAATTTTCGTGAAAAATTATAAAAACGAGTATAATTGTGCGTTGAAATCGACTTAAAGTGCCTTGTTTCAATGATAAATTCAAGTTTGCTGTGCAAAAATAGGGTTTCTTGGAATATTTGTAAAAACATGTGACGTGCCGTAAAGAGCTGCAAAAGCTTTGCAAGATTTTTTTTTTGGTTGGATTTCTAATTTTTTACATTTCCACTCGCTGACAGCAAAGTATGAAGTATAAAATGTGAAGCGTTTTAAGCAGTACACAAACTCATTTTGAACAAATTTTGGTTGGAATAGTCAGAGGTTTTATGAGTATAGCCAGTACAATTGTAAAAAACTATTCCAGCGTCAGCTCAATCTTCATAGACTACACTAGAGTGTACAGACAAAAAAATTACTTGGACGGGGGGTTAAAAATCTAAAATCCAATAATTATGCATTGAGTAATTTTATATTTTGTTCCATGTTGATGTGGCTAAACAACTGATTTTAAGGCAAATTTAGACGAAGTAAAGCTTTAAATCTAACAATTCTTTAAATTCAATGACTTAACATTTTTCCCTACTCTTTTGAGGTTTTTATTCGTTTAATACTGCAGCCTTTAGTTCCGGTTGATGGGCCGATTTTTCTTATGTTATTTTTAGTATTCTACCACTATACGCATGTTACATACCTACTTATTTAGGGTCTTATTTAATTAGATTAGGAATTGAAGAGTTCACATTTCAAAGCACAAATTTGTCATTAAAAATTATTTTATCTTTATGTTGCGGGAAGGCCGTTAAGCTGTCGTATGCTAAACGTCTCGCCATAAATTAATTTTTGTATAATTATGTCTATAGATGTAAATTGAAGTTGCACCTATCAGATGACTCAATCATTGTTATTGAACATAGTTTTTAGGTTGATAGCATTTTCTATTTATTTATTATTTTAAGTATCAAATAATTTGTTTTATTCGTGCCTTATTTATTCGTTAATCACAACAACAGTACTCTTCAAACTATTACTTATATTACTCCCCCAAAGTAATGACTTTCTATTACCAGTAATGAGTCATTATGCCATTCGGTTGAACAACACTTCTTCTAAGTACATATGAAATATATATATCATATAAAATGTGATAGTTTTTTGCTAATTATTGAGAAAGGTGATATTATTTTTTGCTGGCAGAGCAAGAGATATGCTGTAACGGCCTGCGCCGCACGGGAGTATGTAGGGCTTGTCGAAATAGCAAACTGACAACAGAACTACTCCAGAGCGGAAATTTGGACGTCATAGTTTATGGATACAAAATGCTGATAGCTAAATTTAATATTGATATTTGTAATTGGTAATTGCGATCGCCTCGTAGCAGGAAATGTCTAGCCCTACGACTGTATTTCTGACATGAAAAAGTCATCATTAAAATCCATCGGCTTAGAATAAACTATATGTCTCCTATTTGTTGGAATAATATCAAAACGCATGCTACAAATTGTAAGACGATCTCTGACGAAAATCGCTTCAGCGGTCACAAATCTCCATATATATATATATATATAAATTTATTGCAATGAATAATTATTTTGTTGCATAATATTTTTGATATTAGTATTTGAATACATGTGTTTCTAGTGGTTCCGCGAAACTTCCGCTTGCTGGAAGAGTTGGATCAAGGCCAAAAGGGCGTAGGTGATGGTACAATTTCTTGGGGTCTTGAAAACGATGATGACATGACATTAACACACTGGATTGGTATGATAATCGGCCCTCCCAGAGTAAGTATACACGCATATGCCAATGAATAGTCTTTGGGTGTACAATATATTCTCAAAATTATTTCCTCTTAGACTCCCTATGAAAATAGAATGTACTCTTTAAAAATTGAATGTGGCGATAGATATCCAGATGAACCGCCCGCAATACGCTTCTTAACAAGAATTAATATTAACTGCATTAATCAGAGCAACGGAGTAGTAAGTGCTTAAACACATGAGTCTAATAATGAATATTATTTGATTTGATGTTTTGGTTTCGACTTTTACTTAGGTTGACCATAGATTAGTACCCATGTTAGCCAGATGGAATCGTGAATATACTATTAAATCAATGCTCCAAGAAATACGTAGAATTATGACTTGCAAAGAGAATCTTAAATTGGCGCAACCACCAGAAGGCAGCGTTTTTTAGTTGATCACCACAACTGTCGTTAACGACAATTCAGCAACAGCTGCCGCTACTGCCGTTGCCGCTGCTGATGCTGTTGCCCTGCAGTTGCTGTCATCAAAGTTGCCGAAAATAAAACGAAGTCATAAATATTCTACGTAAACGTCGTCGCCGTTGTATAAGTCGTCGCCACCACTTGAAACGTCTTCTCTTATGAGAACATGTTATTATTATTATCATTCTCTTAAATTTAATTAAACAAGTTGAACCCAAAATGGAAACATCAAAGAAATAAAGTAACGAAAATAGTAATAATAATAATCATAATAAGTGGAAGAAATTGAACAAATCTTAAGTAAGAAAATAACTAAAAGAAAACCCATTTACAAAGAGAAAAGTTGAGTAGTAGTAGTAGTACATATTTAAAGAATATGAAGGTGAAAAGAACTATAGTAGTAACGAAATATGCAAAAACAAACATAAACAACATAGCAACTTACGAATTCATTAACACCACAAACACACTAGTAACACACACGCCTATAATACACACACGGCTGAAAAAAATGCATAACATAATTAAGATTATATAAACGCATTAAATACTTATTAATTAATGAAAAATTAACTTGAACGATATATACAACGTAAAAAAGGAAACGCTATGTGCTGCTAAAGTTATTACGCAAAATTAAGGAAATGGAATAAAGTAGGGAATGCGATAATAATGCATTCAAACAACACGCTTACAACCGTGAATTTAAATGGATGAAGCTTCAAAACATTTAAATCAAAAGATATATATATATATATAATAAACACCAGCAGCAAAGTACCATTCATAGTGCAGCAACACAAAGAGCAGGCAATTTCCTGATAAAGAGCGGCAGCGCAGCTGCATTTCAACTGTTTATTTAATTTTTAGTACTATTAATTCATACATCTTTACATTTTCCAATTTACATTACGTTCTTATTTCCCTTTTAATTATTTTGTTCAATATGGAAACTAATGGGCGATAATAATTTCGTTTATGTTTGACCACACAATTTAGATAGAAATTATTTTATCTACTCTTTTTCTTTCATTTCTGGTTTTATAGCATTTTAATTGTGGTAAAAAAAAATGGTAGTTGAATGTGAGACCAACTACATTCAATTCGGCTTCTGAACAGAAAAATTACAACTTGATTCTTTTCCTTAATTACTATAAATAAAGTAATACTTAAAACGTAAATAAATGCATTAAAAAATCTAAATATAATTTCAAAACGTGTGTATTAATGCTTTCATCACTGCACTCTAGTAATACATCTCGAGATTTATCAGGTGAAAAGACATCTTTGTTCATCCGAAAATGTGATATGTTGTAGCTTTGTTGGATATTAATAAGTTGTTTAAGAAGTTTTTGCACATAATTTTATACCGAGGGAAGGAGCGATGGGTAAAGAAAAGCAATCAATGAATTAGAGGATACATAGTGTATGTAACAATTAATTTATGGTCGTTATTCGAGAATGCTACATTAAGATGCCTTAATTGGTGCGGTACATGAAACGCCAGGAAGGAGTTCCGTTTCTTTTAACCGAATAACTTTAGGGCCCACTATCTCTTATATATGTTTCCAATAAGTCTTATTTGGCCAACTTCATATACATTCTCAAAGATCGCTCATATGATAAAGTACGACCGTTTTGCCATCAAAAGGAAGCTTTATTGTTTTGCCCTCGGTACTTGAAAACATGGAAAGATGAGGTGAATTCATGTAGCGAAAATTCTTTTTTTCTCATGTTAATCTGAAGGTCTGACGATTTCCGTCATGTCATGGACATGTCGAAACTGAAGTCTAAAATTAAATGGTTTTCCACAAATTTTTAATAGCGATATGTTCATATATTCGTACATTCATATATACATAAATGAATAACAAGAATGTGTTTATTTGTCGTATCTTTAGCATTTTATTTGTATTTTTTCTTTTAATAATTACGTTAAATGTAATCTTTAGTTTAAATTGTAACAATTTTTTCTAAGTTCCTTTTGGGAGTTATTATTGCTGCCAATTATACCTCCCCGCAGTGAAGATTTGCGCTTCGCTTAGCTGATGGCGGTGCTTATTTCGTCGGTATGCATGTTTCTTTACATAATTTTCTTGTGGTTTTAATGCTTTTTATTGAATTCTTTGGGATCGTTTTTCAATGAAACGAATCTATTTTTCCTTAGGGACGAAAACTATTTTTCTAGATTTCAAAGTAGACCATTTGTGCCTCTTGATATAGTATGAAATGACAGCCAAGAAGGCTAAAATACCAAATGCCTTGATTGTAAGCTGTTTACGTTCATCATGTTCGGGCTCAGAAGTCCATTTAAGGAAGGTGGCTACGTCCTTGGCCAATTGACTTGTAGTTGGAGGTGTACCATCAGAGTATTCAATAACCTTTGGAATATAGTAAATGAAATATTAAAATTAGTGAATCATAAAGATAAATAAATTTATGTAATCACACAGATATTTACCTCATTGTATAGCACTTGAGCCATGGAAATAGCACCACCTGGGAAGTACGGGTTGAAGTACTGTCCTTCACGCAGCACCACACCAGCTGGTGCATCAAAATAGCCGGTAAGCAACGAAAATACATAATCTTCACCGCCTTTACGGGCAGACACAATGTAACTCAGATCCGGTGGGTAAGCACCGTTGTTTGCAGCACGAGCAGCCTCTTCGTTCGGGTATGGCGAGGGGAAGTAATCAGACAGTTTACCCGGACGATCAAAGTAGTTACCAGTATCATCAGGGCCGTCCCTTACCATAATTTGTTCAGCTTCTGCCTTAGCTTCAGCTTCGGTGTGGCTGACACCGATCAAGTTACGGTAAGCTATGTATCGCATGGAGTGACATGCAGAGCAAACCTGCTTGTAAACTTCGTAACCACGTCGTACACTAATTGGTGAAGAAAATTTATTTAACTCGTTTATATTCACATATGATATGTTTCAAATATTCACCTTTGATGGTCTAAAGAGGAGATGATACCTTTATGGCTCCATGGCATTGCTGGTGGATGCACCTCTGTGCCAGATGCTTCCACTGAGCTTTCGAGCGCAAACAACAGAGCTCCCAAGCCACCGGTCACGGCACCAACTGACGCAATAAGCTGTTTTATAAATAAAACATACAAATATTATACAAAATTTACGTAATGCTTAATGAATATAAATTATGGAATGTTTATTTGCTATTTTGCTTTTGCTATATTGTTCTCAAACAACCACTACTCAGGCAAAATATTGAGGTTATGTTTAATTTTGCATTATGAAATATGCACGAAACGATTAAACACTTAAAAAGTTCTTAATTTTGATAAAATGTACAAAAACATAAAACATGTAAAAATATTAATAAATATCACTGACACCTATAAAATAACTATACGAACCTTCTTTTGGCCATTAGTCCATGCTTTTGTGGTAGACAGCTGTTTGACCTAAAATAAAAAAAAAATTATACAAATTTAAGAATTTTTATAATACAGGCGCATGGAAAGTGCTCATTCAAGCTTTAAGAGAATAATAGTTGCAGAGGGTTTTATGCGGTAACACATCTTGTGTCACTCTACAAGTCACTACTTCGTCGTGTTATGTAAGCAACGCAAGAAAATCTTTCCAGTCTTTAAAGTGAAACATTAAAATATTACAACACCCACAACTAACAAAATTTATACATAATTTAGCAAATACACATTATTATTGAGATATTTAAAAATTTACATTTTAATTTTAATGAAGATATGTATTAGATATCAAAAGGTCTATGTTTTCTTCTAAGAAAATCATCTTTTTAAAGCAAAACTTCACCCTTTTTGAAAATAATTTTATATAACCTTAATGTACCTGTTGTAGACCAACTCCGGCTGAAGTTCCCAATAATTTGGAGCCACAGATTCTTCCTAAATTCGCCGCCATCGTGGCTAGTGGAGGTACAACACGACTTTTTGAAGGATGAAAGAAAATTCGGAACTGTCCAATTGACACACACGCACACACAAAACACGCACGCACACACAAAAAAATGTCATGCATACATTTGCAATTATTTAATATTTCGATTGACAGCTCAATTTCTTTATTTTGACGTTACTTCCCATTTGCTAATTTCAATTGCATAAGTCCCATTTCACACCGAGTTAAATTAAAATTGATGATTTCCCAAATCCTTCGAAATTTGTTCTAACTAAATAACTTTCCTTACACACAATACTGGGTTAGATGAGTTAGTATGTAAAAAGGTTAGTAGCAATTTTAGGGGAATGTTATGGGAGCGACAGTCCTTGGCCGGATAAAAATCCGAGGCGTTCCGGTACAAAGACCCGGCTGTATTGGAGTTTAGTCGCCTCTTACGACAGGCATGCCTTCTTCTCCTGTATTGGCGTTGGCACCGCTGACACGCTTACAGTCGAATCAATTATGGCGCGCCATTACTCCCTCTTTTCGCAGTTGGAAATACCAAGTGAGGCCTGGTTACTCTCCACCTGATCCTTCCAACGGAGTGGAGATTTTCCTCTTCCTCTGCTTCCACCAGCTGGTATTGCAACGAATACTTCCAATTCTGGAGTGCTTTCATCCGTTCGGACGAAATGGCCTAGTCAACGTAGGCGCAGTCTTTTCATCCGCTCAATATGATCACATAGCTCGTACAGCTCATCGTTCCATCGTCTGCGGTATTCGCCGTTGCCAATGCGCTAAGAATCATAAATAGTTCGCAAAACCTTTCTCTCGAAGACTCCCAAAGCCGACTCATCAGCCTCACACCTCTAGTCCATATAGTTGGATGGGTAGGATGAGCGACTTGTAGAGTAGACGAAATTATCTAGGACGTCGAAGTCTTTGTCAACAGTGATGTGGGAGCCAAGTTGTGAATGCGTTGACTGTTTGTTTGATGACAGGAGATATGTCGTCTTGTCTTCGCTTCGCTTCTTTATCAAGCCTGTATAAAGAAGAAATAACGGCGATTGTTGAGGCTAATAATGTCAATATCATTGGCATACGCCAGAAGTTGTACACTCTTGTAAAAGATTGTATCTTAATCATAAAATTGAAGAAATCACACGATAAAGAGTTACCCTGCTTAAGACCTCGATCGGTACCGAACGGCTAGGAGAGGTCCTTCTGACGGCGCTTCTGGTGTTGTCCAGCACCAGTTTACACAGTCGTATAAGTTTTGCGAGGATACCAAATATAGACATTGCAGCCCCTTTTCGTGCTGCCGAAGGCCCGGGTCTTTTCCGAGATCAGGCACAGGGTGAATACCCGGTCAATGGTTGACCAGGTCTAAAGCCACACCGATAAGGTCCAATCTGTTTGTTGACGGTGGGCTTTAGCCTTTAACACAATACGCTCAATAGGACCTTACGGCGCCAGTGGTGAAGTAGTCTCCAGTTTCTACTATGCGGGGTCTGCACTGTACTTAATTTTTTTATTTTTGAATACCGATAAGAATCGAAATGAATCAAGTCCTTCTCTAGTTATTTTCAAAATATTTACAGTTCTAAAACTTTAATTTTGCATTACAATCAATCAGAATAATGCTGCTTTTTCGGTAAATTTTTAACTTAAATTACATGTGACTCAGGAAAACAGCCAATGGATCATCGAAATACTTTACACAGTAATTTTTATGGTCAAGCTCGTGTCGGCTATTGGTTGCGTTGCTCTGACTTGCCTTGCGTATCAAGTCCACTTTCTATTGTCGGGAGAACAGCGCCGCAATCGGAAGCACCGACAACGTCTTCTAGTTTGGGTATGTTTTATTTTCGAGTTGAGTTATTTTCCGTCATCGCTACACATCTATGTACTACGTACAAGATTTTTTATGCGAGATCACATGCCAAATAAAAAAAAAACAATTTAGATTAATTGAACAAAAATCTAAAAATAAATTTTGGTTCCAACAGCCTATTCCAAAAATGTGTTTTTATAGTATTTTTTAAGTTGTCAATGTAAGTTACAAATATGTTTAAATTGAACGTTAAAGAATTAAATCATTTCCTCTTTTCAGCTTTCAGATACACAAAACCTACAGAAATAATTCAAGAGAAGATTAGGTTAAATCAGTTACTAATTGCTGATACCACTTTGCATTGCGCTCCGCTTCACCTGCAGCAGTTCTTCCATCACTACAATGTTGATGTGCTCTCCTCAGCACATATTTTATTTTTGCTTGTCTACCTTATTGCACTAGAATGTGGCTTTGTGTCGAAGCAACTTTTCAAAAAGTTTTGTCGCGTACTAGCTCCGATTCCAACGGTATTTACCTACCACTCCAAAAATGTACTCTTCCTTAGTCGTGATAAGCCCATCTATCAGTTCAGTCGACCTCATGAAACGTATTTCACAATCGATCTTCGTGTGTTAAATCGAGATTTCAAGCACGGCTCGCTTTATTCGAGATTAACGGCACTAGTGAGTGGTGACTACCTACTTGTTACGCTTGCACCCATACCAGTTTCATTGAAAAGCTACAGTACTTGTTTACCCATAAGTCGTTTTGTTATGCCGGGGTTGTCAAAAATGAAACCGGTTAATCGTTACCTCAGGAGACTGGACCAACTGACAGCACAATTGCGTGATGAAATTTTCACACATGTACGAAATCAGCAATTAGATTATTTGAAATTAAATCCATATCCTTCCATAACGGGCATGCCATTGGAGGTGCGCGAAGTTATATATGAATATTTAAACGAGACCGATTTGAAAAGTTTGTCACAAGTATCAAACAAATTTTACAATGATATAGAAAAGCCGGAGGAGGATGCCTTTGAAGGAAAAACTCACAATGACTCCAAGAAGCAAGCAGAAATGGGTGCAAGTGATTGGGCGGAAAGAGAAAAAGATGCATAATTTTGAGAATGAAAAAATTAAACTAACTGTGAACAAAAGAGCTTAAGTATTAACCGGAGAATTAAAAATCTTAAGCCGTAAATTTTCAAAAAATTAAATATACTAAAAAAATCTGGGTCTGCCATTACAAAGTGTAATCTCATTATAGTGTAACGATTTTCGGTAATAAATCTCGATCTCCTTCGAGTTCGATCATTGGATTCTTAAATAAAACTCACCAATTTTATTGTCCAGTTTCTTAAATAATTTTTTTTAACGTTGATTTCTTACTCAATAAATAACAATTTATTTTATAACTCTCACACTTGTGGAATTACTTGAGAACGTCCGGAATTCTTAACTTGGGAACTATTATTAGACTGGAAGATCACTCGTCATCTTCAGTTGCCCATACTGCGATTGGACTTCCTGCTGACGGTTGTTCCATACAGTCTAACAAACCCGTGGAAATTTCCTTGGTGGTGCTCAATAGTAAGTCGTAACTCAATCTCTCAATCCACCGAGCTAGCTTTCCAACAGACACTTGTGGTAATTTTTGCAATCAACAAATGCCAGTAGTTCTCTCCGAGTTAAGTAGGAGCTCTTTTCCGGTTTTCTGACTGGCTATCTTCTCCTAACCATCCGGTGGAATTACGTCGCCAATGGCATCAGCATCCAGAATAATTGTTGCATACGTGGAATTAAGTACGCTAGCATTGGCGCAGTACATAACCGTTAATTCAGAGCTTGGAAGGTTTCCTCCTGTTCCTTGCTCCACTCGAGAGGTCTACTTTTTCTAGTGAGCTCATGGAGGCGAGAGTTTCCAATGTGATGACAAAAGCTATTCACATTCTTCTTGATTAATGCGTACCGTTTCCCGAGCTGCAGGCTGTTTGCTATTTATCTTCCACGCTTCTTTGATACATTAGCCTTTCCACGGATCGCATTAATATGTTATAATTATCCATCTCATATTCGCCAATTAGAATATTGAAAAATTTCTTCAAATAAACCATCGTTGCAGCGGATTTTTCACCAAGACCCCAGTTGTTTGTTGTAGTTGTCTTTTTAAACCAGTTCTTGAAGACCTAGAAAGGAAGGCCGTCAAGGCTTATTACTTTTACCTTGGGAGCATTCATCGAAATGGTTGGACGACTTAAATGCAATTCTCAGATTAGATGAGCTTGCTGCTTCTAGACTTTATTCTGCTTCTCTTTGAGTACATTTTGCGTTTATACACATAAATAAGCTGTGAGTCTCTTAATTGGATATTGTTTACTCAACGTTTATTTATTGCTAAATAAATAACAATGCGCTTTACCATACACAACAACTTATTTTACGATTCTAACTTTTTTCACTTAACAATAGTGTTATCACCAATAAGTTCAATTTGAAACTGGCTTCTACAGTATTGGCCGCCTCTCTTATATATCTGCTGTTTGCTTGCATAATCGTCTAGGAAACGCTCGACGAAATAGTCTCTATGGAAAATTCGTTTCAGGCGTTCTAGAACATGCTGTAGTTGTCGGTATCTATCTTTCATCTGAAATTCATATTGCTTAGTTGCAATTCTTACATCATTGTTTTTGGCTTTCTAAATTTTTTTAATGCCACGATGATGTATATATTCTTACATAATCTATTATTTGCAAAGTTGCTCAATAAAACAATATCATGTGATATAATTTCAAACCTAAAAAGAATATTTACAAAATAATTTAAACAAATATATCTTAAAATTAAAACAAATGTAATAATAAATAACAAAATAGGAATCATTCGGAATAATACTTGTTTATTTGGCCTAGGATTAATAATTTCTTTTTAATATAATTCATCCTAAAATAACAAATCATTCAATGACAATATAATATTTTCCGAATCATAGTAACTAAAATTGAAAGTCCTAAAACACCTTCACAAACTCTCAAACTCTCGATGTTAAAATTATTATTCTAAGAAATCTTAAGTATTCTTTATTAACTTTAAATAAACATACAATAAAAGAATTAACAAGTGCCTAAACTTATTAACATTGGCAATAAATGCTTTCGGTCAGAAACAAAAACGGTAACTTTTATAAAAAATATATATTTTTATTATTATGAAATATATGTACGCAAAGAAATTTGGGAATTCCCCGGTGGCTTTTTAAGGTGGCAACGCCGACTATAGTACCACACAGAGTTTAAAGGCAGAAACTCAATTGAAAGTTGTTTAATTCGTGAAACGCTGTCTATGGAGAAAGGTAATTTATACATGTAAAGCAATTTAATAACATTTCTGGAAGACTACATTAGGTTAGTCACTTCTTTAAGTATCTTTTGCTTTCTTGTAAAGTAAGGTGAATGCGTTTTACGTGATTACAAAGCATTTGTTGTGAAATTGTTTTCCATTTTTATTTCGTTTAAATCAATTGTACACTGTTACATACATATGTAGGCAAATTGCACTGAATAACTACATATGCATTTACATATATACTTTTATAACTTTGGTGAGAATATTAGAGTTTACTAAATGTCCGACTCATTTCCTATAAAAGTACATAATGTGTGGTGAACGTAGAATGTAATCAGAATAACTGGTCTAACGCGGCACGCACATATTGCCAGTTGCGACAAATAATAGTAATTCAAAACCAGTTATCTTTGTCAGTGCAGGTGATAGCAGTAGCAAAGATAAAATGTAATGAAACTTAGTTGTATATTATCTCTGGGCCTCCATTGTGTTTTGTTGGCAGCTCCAACTACTAGATTGAGCGAGACCCAACAATCAGCTGTGAGTAGAAAAGGCGAGCTGCCGCTTACAAATGGACAAGAATACTTTTAAAAATTATCGTTTTTTAGTTTCCGCAGCAGTATATTTAAATTTTTTTGGGAAAACTTCGTAATAATACGCCAGGCTTTGCAAAACATTTCCTTTTGCAGGGGTTAGAGAAGGTCATACACATCATAAGAATATATGTTGATCCCCGAGCAAACTTATAGTTTTCGAGTAATTTGTTGTTAAAGTTAAAATTTTGACCAACCGAAATTCCCGAATAAAATATATAAATATCGCTTATAATAACGCCCAATAACATTTAAAACTATTTTGTTTAGTCAATTTACCCATAATACTAATATTTTCCATCATTTTACACATAAAAAATGCATTCTCACGTTTGTTTACTTTAGTAAATGAAATGACGTCCAAGTGTCCGCTACAATTAGGAAAATCCGTGCTGCCACACGGCAAGAGTGAGGTCATATTTTGCAACGAAATGAATGTACAACGTAAACACAATCAGAATACACCCTACAAGACGGGTAGCTGATGCCTAACTTTACATACGTGCATGTGTTATTTGAATTGTTACTTATTTACGGATTTAAAAAAATTACCCTGGGTCGGACCTACACCGGCCACATTGTGTGATCTGCATGACCTCCTCTAACCTCCCCAAGAGGAAGTTTATTTCAAGGCCTGGCGTATAATTGCGAAGCCTTTTATCTCGTTAAAACAAATGTTTTGTAAATTATCTTTGCTGGAGTAAAAGCGAGAAGCTAATGCGCGCAAATGGCTTAGATTATTTCAAATATTGTTATTGTATTATTTTTTTGGGTAATCATAAAACCGAGATGTCAGATACGATGCATTTTGCTTATGTAATCGAACGATCGAAACGTCATAAACCTATTTTTTAAGTATTTTGTTTGTGTAATTTGGCGAAATGGTAGAAATAACAAGCAATCATATTATGAGAAAATTTCAACTTCTATAAATGCGTCTTGGTTTTTGTGTTCAATTCGCTATGTATGAAGCAATTTTATTGGCAAAGATGAAATTTCCAATAATTTTAGAAAAGAAATAGTTACATGAAATTTTTAGGAGTACGTAAAGAAAATTAAATAACATATTAACAGGCCTATTCTGTCGAGGTAACAAGATTTTTTTTTGAAAAAAAGTACAGCTGAAGCTCATCGACTGCTTATGCAGGTTTATGGTGAATCTGTGCCGACCGATGCAGAGAGTGGTTATTAAGCCTAAAAGGTGGTGATCTTAGCCAAAGATAATTCTTAGCGTTGAATTGATGCGAAGCATTATCGAATACTGATGCGTTTAGGCCGAGCATTCCGTGAAAAATGACCAGATATGACCGAAAGTCATGACAAGGTGATTTTACAATATGACAACAAAGAGCTAATTTTTTTTTTAGAGATGGTATACGAAAGCTACCAGAGAAATGGGAAAATGAAGTGTCTTCCCACGGGCAATACTTTGAATTATGTTTTTTTTACTCTTTTTTTCAATAAAAAAGGCCGGACGAAATTAATTTGTACCCCCCACCATCAGAACATTAACATAGCAATTTTGCGCCTGTGGAAATAGTTAATTCCACTACAATTTAATATTTTGAAAACAATACGTTTTAATAAATTTTCATCAACTTAGCAAAAGTAGAGTCTTTATTGGATTATGACCCTTGCGTAGCGTCCAAAGTAGGAAAATTAAACTTTCATTTCTTCCGGTCAACTGCTGAAATCAACATTCCGTTGACATTCGTAAAAATATTCCAGTTTAAAATGCTGCTTACATACATATGTAGTTGGTTTTGATAACCGATAGAGAAGAAATCAAAATAAAAAGGGAGTTTTCCTACTTTCCGTCTCCACAAATAACATGCCATCAGGCGCAACATCAAATTGGGTGTCAAAGTGAAAATTACGATCCCATTCAACTGCAAGCAAATTGGACAGTTTTCGATTTCGCTTGTTCGCTCCATTTGAAAACGCATGGGAAATGAAAGATTTTTGAATTGAATTGGTAATGTAACGCCAGTTTCTTTAATTATTTCTCTTTTTTTCTTCTTTAATATACAAATATTGCTTGGTTTCAAATAAATGTTTGTGTAATAATTTTTTCTTATATGATTTTTTTGTTTTGATTTATCAGCTGATTTCGATAAGAATTACAGAAGGCATGAATTTGGTCATAATTCACGTGACACGTGAGGGATTTGAAATTTTCTCGCGGGAAAATGCTTGAAGGAAATAAAAATTACGTGATAATTGCTACGTCTGATGGCCTATTTATCGCTTGCTCGCATTCATCTCTAAAAGTTTCCGTTTTTATTTTCGCGATACCGAAAATTCGACATATCCGAGCATGTTCTAGTAGTCTATGATATTCGTTTTAAGCATTTTTTCCCCAAAATATATACATATGTACATGTATTTATTTTGATATAATTTCAGATAATGGAAGGCAATGAAGAGGACAACTCCATAGAGAGGTCCATTTTGGATGGCCTAAACCAGCTTCATAAGTTTTTCATCAACAAACCACTTTCTCAGGCACATTGCCTATTTTTGGCCGTCTATGTAATTGGTATACAAGTTGGGTTTATACCACAAAATTTCTTTCTCAATCGATTGATGGGCTTAACTCAGCTGGAATCTTGGTCAACATTTAAGAAAAGCAATGTGGAAATATGCTGCAACCAAGCACCAACTTATGAATATGACTCACCGCATGAAACATTTTTCACAGAAAATTTTATTACAGCAGCTTCTGTTGAAGAAGACGATATTTTGAAATCTAAACTTGTTGCCCTAGTCACGGGCGACTTTATGATGGTCACACTATCACCCCATCCGTCGACACAAAGTTTGGGCCGCAGTACTTGTCTATCCATTGGTCGGTATGTGATAAAATATTCCGATAGCGAAATACCGTTAGAGAGTTGCTATCAAAAATTGAATCAATTACAAATGCAATTAAGAAATGAACTGTTTGTACCGGTGCGTATAAGTCAGCTGACTTTATTGGACGCCTCCCCATTGCCAAGTTTTATGGGTATACCGCGGGAGTTGCGATTTGAAGTGTATAAATATTTAAAATCGACCGATTTGAAGAAGTTGGCGTGGGTAAATAAAGCTATACAAATGGAAACAAAATTATTCTCTACGAAAAATAATTCACTTACAAACTAATTTTTACATTTTGTTATTTTTTTTTTTTTGAAAATACCAAAAGCATTTAGTTAAATAAAGTAAATATGGATTGTATGAGTGTAATTGAGTTTAAAGGAAATTCAAGTCGCCTTTAGGGATTTTCTTCAATTTTACTGCGATTTGTACGTGCAAATAAATGTGTCGGTAAGTATAAGAGCTTACGGGTTAACGCACAACCTTGATGTAAAAACTTCGAAAAAAACTATTCTCTTATCACTCATATTTTATTCAGTTCTGATAAAGCCTAATGATAACTTGCATTTTGTGTCACAATTTCCGGCCGACTGAGTGTGTGTAAAAGGAGCGAGCTTTTTGTGTATAGATGAACACAATTGAGAGCGATAGTGAGTATATGCATAGGTGATGGAAGCTTTCATCGATAGTTTTGCTTATGTCTCAAAGAGTTCATTCAACCAAACCCCCCATTTAAATATGAGCATTTCATTTCTATAAATTATTCTGTGAAGTTTATTTAGAATGTCAATCAATGCACTACGAAAACTCTTTATCAATAATAAGAAATGAAAATTACTTCCGTTTAGGCAATATTTATAAGAAAAGTATTTGAATAAATCGATTACGATAAATAACTGATATCATCGTGGTTGATTGTGGTAGGCGCCGTGGTGTTTCGTCTACATCACATCGTGCAACGGTACAACATTTTATCGATAACATAAATGCCATTTGTCATTTCAACGTCAGTTATTTCTCTTTGTTCACAATTTCTCTGCAAGATTTTCTATTCTAGAAGATTTGCAAGTGTTTTAATTGAATATTTTAACGAAAAAGAATTCCCATTTAATATGTATCAAAAATTATATCTCTTTCTGTAACACTTTCTTAAACACTTTCTGAATAGTTTTCTTCAACTGACAAGTGTACACCCTGCAGAACGCCTTCTGGATTTAACTGTCTGTTGAACTGGTCACGGCTTCCTTCAGTTCGCTTTACACTCCGTCTTGTTTATTATTATATTTTCTCACTTCGAATATCCAATCCCGTCACGTCTTAATAATAACAATTAAATAATGAAAAGATCGGGAAATATAAATTGTGTAATAGTTATTAATTATTAGTGCTGAGAAAATTATAAATAAACACCTTAAAACTCGCTGGAGCCACTTTTTTTTTTAAAAATAGCTTTGCTATAGAAGATAACTCAAAACTAACAACACAAAATCAAACAGTAGATTTTTTGTTACCTCGTATTTCGCTGGTAACAAAATTTACAGGGTGACATTGAGCTCAGAATACCAAATAGTAACAAAATTTTCTGAATGGTGAATTTTGATACCAAAGCAAATTTTGTTACCTCGACAAAATAGGCCTGTCAAATGAAGATTGAAGAAAAATATGTAAGTATGTAAACCTACTTAAAAATCTTCTATGTGCCAAAGTGCTAAAGTTAAAAAATCTTTAAAAAATTGATAAAGAATTATGTATATGTATGTATATTTGTAATATGGGTCTTGATGTTTGTCAAGTAAAAGGAAGGACCTACAGTTTATTTTAAGTCGATTCCGAACGGTTGATGGTTTTTTACAAAGAGCTTTTATTTCATGTCATAAATACACTCGGAGGGGTTGACATTTCCTGCTGAGTGGCGACCGCAATTAGAAAAATTAACTTTTTTTTATGTTTAACTCAAACTGCTATAATTTTTTTTGTTTTGGTCGGACCAGGACTCGAACCATGACCCTCCGAATGGCAGTGTGCAAAGCTAACTATCGCGGCCACCTGCAGAAAAGTATAACTACTTAAAGATCTTCTACTATAGGTTAAAAATATATAATCTTTAAGAAAGTTGTGGAGGAATTTTTTAACTTTTCAAAGAAATTTCGTATAAAAATGTAAATTTCTTAAGAAAAAATTAGTAAACTCGGGAGACTTTGTACCAGTCGTTTGCAATTTCAGAGCCGACAACCACAACTTGGGCAATAAGAAATGTGTGTAATTAGTCATCGATAAAGACTACGGCAATACCAATCGTTTAAGTCGATGACGTCAAAGAATTTAGTTAGAGCGAAAGTCTGCGCTTTCGCTTGGAGCCGGTAAAAGTCTGTTGAAGAAATTGAATATTTCAACATTTTAAATGATTGACCATCGCTGAGGCTGATTTATATGACCGCTATGGGTTAGGTAAAGCAACAGTTAAATTTTTAACAGAAATTTTAACTAAAGAAGAACCCACATCAAATGGACGTTCTCCAGTAGCGGAATGAATAAAGGTTCGTTGAACTTTGCGATCCTTGGTGTAAATATTCACCAAAGTCATGTTGATAAGTTTCGCAAAAAAAATTACTTTTTTATAGGGGATTTGCAAAGCTTATAAAAAGCGGCTAAATGGATTACTAAAGATATGTGCCTTGTCTCACTATATTTGTTTTCCAAGCAACAGTGAACTGAATGAAGTCAAAAGGAATTTTTATAGCAAGACACCCCACTGTCTTCAGAGCTTTTGTCTGCAGTTCCTGCGAAGAGTGTTGAACTAATGCGAAAGAAACAGAAAAGGACATTACTCGTTGAATGTTCGTTCAGGTATTTTTCTTATATGAAAGTAAAAATTTAATTTGATGCGCTGATGTGACGCAGTTTTTAAAATGGCGAACATCGTGGCAAGATCCTCTAGTTCGAGGCCAGATTCAAGGACTTATGGTAAATATTATTAACTCCCATTAGAAGTCTCATAACTTCTAGAGCACGAAAGTAAGCTAATCCATTTTCAGTTAATATTTATGTATATGAGGCTAAAATTCTGAGAGGGCCTACTATGGTTTGGCAGCCTGAATAATATTTTTATCCTTAGTTTGTTTAACTAAATATGCCTCAACAGCTTTCCGAAAGTCAGTCACGAAACTACGTAACTTATTCGTACGTTTGGGGGTAACGCTGTACTACTTTGTGCGAAAGTTCTGACTGTCAACAGCCTAGAAGCTTATAGCCTTGCAGCAGTTGAAAATGCTCTAATTTTAGCTACAAGATTTGCTGGTGGAATATTCAAAGCTGAATGTAGTGGTGTAGATGGTGTTGTTTTGAGTCCCCCGGTGATGCTGATTATTGAAAGTCTGAAGCCTATCTAGATTTTTTATCTTGTCCATAGCCTTCCATAGAAAAGTATTGGCTTAACAGCTGCAACGCAGATCCAATGATAGATAGCTGGGAAGAGACCCCAAGGGCATCTCAGCAAGGGTTTAGATCATGCCTCCTTCATTCGCTTGTCTATATTGTGTCTCAGCTATAAAGTGGGCTCTCTCATTTTTGATCTGAGTTTTGTATTTCCTTGTGAAAAGAACCAAATCTGTTTTATCATAATTAACGTACTTGATTCGCCAGAGACCCGAGAGCTGCCAAACACTTACCGCCGTCCGCAGAGGCAATTTTTTCAGGAACCGCAGAGGGCCCAGGACACCGGTGCTAATGCTCCATGCAATGGAGCTCCTCTGTGCTCATCTTCCTATGAAAGCTTCGAAGAGTTTGCTTAAGAACGTTACAACCCTTTCACCAGATCTTCCAAAGATAGCTGGAAAGATTCCTTTTAAGCTCGGTAATTTAGAATCCGAGTACGTCTGTTTTGCCCACATAACCTTATCTGGATCTGTTATGCCGCCCAAGCTTTCTAACTGCTGCGCCCTAGTGGTTCTCGACCAAACTAGATTTAGCTTTGACGTGGTTGACGGAAAGTGGGTATCAAACAAAATTTCTACAGATTCCTTGGTTTGGTTCATTCCTAATTTGGTTCATCTGAAATTGGACCAATAAAAGGATTAATTCTTAAGCTTGCCGAAGCGATTTTTTTATTTCCAAACAATAATTAAAACTTTATCCGAAATTTTTTGACGAAAAAAAGATTTAATTATACAAATATGAAGTTAAAAAACTTCAATGAGGCCCTAACTTTTTACTTTGAAAAAAAAAGAAGAAAATTTTGATGAAAAAAGTGATCTCGTGGACCGTAGTGCAATGCTGCAAACGAAGTGAGACCCCTGACACTTTAGCAATACCTAGATAAATGTCAATATATTTATATAAAATAACAAACTTTTCTGCTCCATCAACTCGAAAGCTCTATTTTCTACTTATGTTTACTCTCTTTGCTCGCTCACAGTCGTAGCCCCCACCAAGCTACCGGATGTGAATGGCAGAGAGCTTTTACCGAACGCTGACGACAAAAACTGGAGCAGTGAATACAGTGAAACGAGTGTTTAGTTGTAACTCTCGGTTAGTATGAAAATATACACAATCACACAAATCAATGTAATCTTGACGGTAATGTTTGCTCGTATAAGGCAGGATACAGCATCCCGACGATTGTGTGAATGACATCAATTCATTCAAATCAGTTTCGTTTCGTTAGTGCAAGAGCGTAGTTTGTTAAGCGGACGGTCTGGGCAAAAACGGTCGCATACATACATATGTGTATAACGGTTGTGCTTTTGAGCGAATCCTTTGTGGTCTATCGGTTTTGCCCATTTGTATATATGTACATATATACAGTTTAGTGAATGTATTAGTGTAACTGTGAATGTGTGCGCGCGCTTGTTTACTTTGAAAGCGAAGAAGAAAGTGAAATTAGTGTATGATAGTGTTTTATAAATATCAAAAGCCATCGACCTTATCCCTCGAAAGTATTAAAATACACATGTACATACATATGTGTGAGTGAAATTCTTTGGATGTGCCTTTATGAGCGCCATCGTCAGCTGTTTGATTTTGTTATAACGGTGTTAAAAATATGCAGTTTCTGGCGTTTTGTGGCTGGGCAACACTACTGGAGTGTACCAGCTATCAAGTATATGTAGACATTTCTAGGTATGCACAGCAAAAGTGAAAAATTAAGATTTAAAGAAGAGATAAGAAAAAAATAACAATAAAAAATTCCCCGCGTAGGTCAAAGTAAATAAATTTCTCAAAGTCGAATGGAAAGTTATATCAACCATTAAGTGTACGATTTCGCGAAGACAGTATGAAGTAAAGGGTCTCATATTAAACCCCTACATAGGCTCTG